AACACTTTTGGTACTAGTGCATATAAGCTTGCTAATATGGATAATTTTTTTTCATTCCTGATGATGACATAATTAATGTCGAAATATTGAATCCCAACACGATGGCGTGTATTTCAATACTTGGAGTATGTATTATACTTTCAATCAGTATATGTGTGCAATTCCCATTGGTGGCATCCAACAGGTTAAATGCACATACATCATTTTTTGGCATTAAGGAGATTTTATTACTATATACCACTGTACTGTACTGCAAACCAATTCAAATCTCGGTTAAAAAAAACACTGGTCTGTTCACGCATTTAGATACAGCCCGTATATACCTATATATAGGAGTTGCTTAACAAGTTAAGAGGGCCACAAAATCTTAAAAGCTTTAAGTCTCAAAATCCAGGTAGATCCAAGTAGGTAGAAAAACCCAGAACACATGAAAACCAATAATGCTACTACACCAACTGAAGAAATATAAGTCATTTGTAGTATTTTTCAAGGCCTGTATATTGCAGGTTGATCTTGTTGACCCATCCCATTGGAATTATTCTTGACCCATAAATATTATTCTTTTCCCTTAAAGCCCCATTCCCGTCAAAATTTCAGTTTTAAAAAAAATCTAATTTTTGTAATGTTATAAAGATTTATAAATATAATACAGAATTGCTAGTTTAACTGAATTTAGACATTCCTAAGAATGAAAAAAATGTAAAATAAGACTGAAATTTAATTTTAAATGGATGAATTGTTCATGTTTGATTTTGCGATAGGTCGTGAGAAGAAATATCGTAGGCGCCGAAAACATTAGCCTATCCAACGCTGCTAGGCTAGGCCTACCTTCCCTCGATTTAGGTTCTGTTATCACATAAAAACTGCCGACATGATATTTTCCGTTGCTAGTATTGACACTTGTGAAATATAATATTTCATAGGAATTATTTCAAATTTGTTAAAAAACTGATTCTGACTGAGATTTTGACACTTAAACAAACATATCTCAGCCTAACCGAACGACCGCATTGTGCGAGATGCAAAGTATAAAAACTAATCTCACTAGAGAAGGGCGCACTTTATTGACTGTATAAAGTATACATAAAAGCGAGAGTATTCCCAGTGGATGCGATCTACAACCTCTGAATTTGCCTAAACGATGAATTCGTCGAGAAAATGGTAATATTTTATGAGAAATAATCTGTATTTCTCATTTTTTTTATTCTTTTGCGTAAAACTAAAATTCATGCCAATATTTTTCCATGATTTATAATAATTGGAGTAATGAAAATGCATATTTTCTAAAAAAAGTCAGTTTTTAGTGAAATTTTGCCGGGAATGGGGCTTTAAAATTAAACTCTTGACTTGTTTAAACAAGTGCATGCTACTGAGAGCCTCAATATTATAGTGTACACTAACTATTGATGAGTATCAAGTATATATCTGGCTTGCATGAATAAGGTCACAGGGTTATGAACAATTCAATACTGTACAGCACTACTTTAATGCAGAAAAATATTAGAACAGTAAAGTCAAACATATTATTTTTAATGACTATGACAAAATGGAGCTTTATGAATAATGGTAGACACTTGCTGCATCAAGAAGATAATGATAATGATGCTCTTGTGCTCCTAATCAATAATAATGTCCCATCTACAACAGTTGAACATATATATTTATTCAATTGTTTTTATATACTCTTTTCCCACTTATATTTTGGATTAATTTATGATTTTTCATTTTTTACTAAAGAGGGCCCCTGAACGTCAGCTTCCCTTCGAGGAAGGGTTACCCTATTTAAACATTGTCGAAATAAAAAATCTTGTGTATTTACATAGGTTAAGTGCTAATCACTGCTGCAAATTAAGTTTTATGCATTTTTTTAAAAATTTCACATGAAACAAAAAAATGAATGTCATTCCTATTAACGTTTAATTGTTAATTGGAAAGAAGATTGTCTTTTATAGTAACCCATTACCCTGGAATCAAAAGCTGTCACCAGAATTTTTTTAATCACAACCAACAAAATTACATTCCCTAACATCTCATAAGAGGTTAAAGTATAGACATGTTGTGTATGTCTTTTTTTTTTCTTCTGAAAGGGATTCCTACCTATGAGTAGAACAGCAACATTCAATTCTCTTTTCTTAAATTTCACAAAAGAAACTACACAAAATTGTGCTTGGTTTATTATCGATGAAACAGTTCTACTAAAGAAACTATCATGAATATATCACAAGGAAATGAACAAAACATTTTGATTGTTACTTTCCTCAGACAGCAAATACTTTCAGTAAAAAAGGCTAGGCAATAACAATTGTTATTTACAAATGAAGGGTGACGGACTAGTTGAATAGTAATGGTCTGTTTCCTAAAAATCATTGTTCAATGTTTTGCAGTTTATAACTGAATCATGTTTCATAGAAAACATTGTTATAGAAAAGTTTGGTTTTATTTATTTTTTTTATTCTATTATTTATTAAATTAAATATTATTTTTTAGCATTATCATTATTATTGTTGTTATTGTTATTATTATTAACATGGAAAAAAGCTTGTAAGTAGACCAATAATATACTGTAGTGCTGTATTTTTCTATGTTAATACATTTAGAAATCAGATGAAACTATTTGAGGTTATTATTATTGTTAATATTAATTATCATTATCAGGACTTTTATTATTGTGATTATAATATGAACAATATATCATATATACTGTGTATGTGTGTGTGTGTTTATATAATAGTTGTATATAAATCATAGTGGTAATGCTATAATTATATGTATTTATTTATAGATGTAATAATAATTGACAATAATTTAAATCAAAATTGCTCACTTTCATATTTTCATTAACTGAATTTTACATATGCCTTCTTGTTTCCTATTTGTACTCCTAAGATGAAATATCATTGCTTCATCCATGGATGTGATGCATGCCATACAGTATATGCCTCCATATTTTGTCTCAGTATGTTACATAATGGTTTGGTACAATATGCAAAGAAGAGTAGAGATTGTCATGTCTGTATCTTTGTTGTATTTAATACAATACTTTCTCTAGTTGTACTCTCTGCGCTTTTGATCATTTATTTGAAATTAGCGCATTATAAATATTTTATTATTATTATTATTATTATGTACCTTAGCTCTTTGTGCCTCACACCATTTATCGCCATATTAGTTAAAATTGTCCCTAATTTCTGATTCCTTTTGGTGCTCAGTTCAAAGTGATATTCAATAAAAATTTTTGTTTGCAGATATTTTGGTCAGGAAAATGATTACAACGTATTGGTGATGGATTTGCTAGGACCAAGTCTTGAAGATCTGTTCAACTTTTGTAGTCGTAAATTCACAATGAAGACTGTGCTAATGCTTGCTGATATGGTTAGTGTGACTAATTACAGTAAAGATAAGATAAAACTTATTGCCATAAGCCTGGTTCACGTCGAACTTTATCTAGATATACCCGTCTTGAAACATGATACGATAATCCCCTAATTGCGTTCGATGCCAAGTTAGAGCC